AAGGAGAGATTAAAAAGTCTAAAAAAAATATATATAATAAATCAATCCACAATATATTTAGAAAAACTTTAAAATATTGTTTTTTTCTCTCTAATAACAACTGTAAAAAAATCATTCCTACATATCTTTTACAATAGTTTTATATGTAATTGAAATTACTAGATTTTATACTTAATAAAAATACGAAACTTTAAAGCAAAAAGAAAAATGCACATTTTTTAATGAATAAATATGTCTTTTTTATAAGAAAAGAATAAATAAAAATAGAAGATTGAATATAAAAAAATTTGGCCGTTCTCACTAATCACATTCAAAACTTATTGTTGCTAAATTTCATTATCATCCCATCGGTAAAAATTGCAGAAATTAATGTAATCTTGAAAACTTAAAAATTTTTATCGCTCGATATGCAACTGAATGTATCTCCAAAATGTCGTTCTTCTTCCTAAATATTAATGGCGCGTTCTATTTTAATTCGATCAACTTTAGTAAATTTGTATGATAAAATGATATTTATCTTTTGCTGGATATTAAGGGTTTTAATTTTATATATACGCAACAATTTTTTAAATTTTTTTTCGGTTTTTTAAATAAAATAATGTTAATAATATATAATTACGCGCTTTTTGTTGCACTGGAACACTCTCTATTTTTAACATGTTATTTAAGCCCTTGTCATATTATATGTTTAAAATTAAAATAAAAATAAGTAACAACAACATTTACCAATAATACTAATAAATAATAATAACCAAGTACATTCACAATAATAATAATATAAACAAAACAACAGTATCCCAATAACTACTAAATAATAATAATAAAAACAAATAACAATAACAATAATATAATAATAATAATAATAATAAAATCACCAATAATAATAAAATACATTATACTAATAATCATTAAGAACAACAACAATAAACTAATAATAATAATACTAATCATAATAATAACAACAACAATAACAATAACATAATACTAATCATAATCAACAAAACAACAAAAACAAACAACAGACAAACAACAACAACAACAACAAACAACAACAACAACAACAGCACAATTAATCATCAATCAATAATAACAAACCACAATAACAATACAAATAATACTAATAATCAATAATATAATCAACAATCAAAATAAAATAATAATCAATAATATAATAATAACATTACATAATAAATATTAATAAAAACAATAATTACTAATAATACCTAATAATAATAATCAATAATAATTATAAGAACAGTAGTCAATAATAATAATAAATATCAATAAGTACATAATCAACTCTCCCATCACACTCCCAATAATTAATAATAATCATAGATTAATAATATTAGTCCTAATAACAAAATAATACCCATAATAATAATAATAATAATAATAAAATAATAATATAATACATAATAATACCCTAAAAAATTTCTAATCGCAACTCCTATATACAAAATCAACCATAAACTTAAATACAATAAAAACAAATAAATCGAAAAAAAATTGGAAAAATAACTCGCAACAATAAAACTAACCTCAGACTTGCTCTTCGCAACAAGGCTGATCCGGAAGTGCACAAGCGAGCAGGGGTTGGCCGGCGTAGGCGGGCTGGCACGCGCCTGTCAGGCCACCGGGCGGAACGGTGCTGCGGACGGAAGACAGGCCAGAGCGCACGCCAGGCAGAAGAGAGAAAGGAAGAAGAAAGAAAAAAAGAGAGGGCACGACGCTTACAGCCTAAATTTTTGCGCACCGACACAGTGGTCCGCAAAATTTTATAACTATCCGGTCAGCAATTTTTTAATGAGCGACGTTGTTTTGATAGGCCTCAAAAATTTGCGACCCGATTTGCGACTAAACTATATCGGCTAAAAAATCGATCGCAATGTAGCTCTCCCGCAATCGGTTCAAGAACTTTGCCCCATTTTGACTATGCGCGAAATTTTTACAACAGAAGAACACTTAGTCACACATCGGTCGCAAAATCGGTCGCAAATCCGTAGTACACAGGTCGAAATCAATTAAACCATTCTCCGGTGAATTTTCAGCCCTCAAAATTTGCGACCGATGGCTTATAGTTCGCAAAGCGGTGCAAAATGGCGCCAAATTAAGTCGGTCGCAAAAATCGGTCGCAAATTTGGTGGTCGTTTTTTTTGTAAGTGAGCTGTAAGTAATAGTTCAAATAAAATGATGTAATGATTAGAATGGGATGTTAATGATTTGACCTCTCAATGATACACTCCATCGATATTGTTACCGGTCTGCAACACGACAATTCAATAGGGTAAATTGAACCGCAAGATGTTCCAGTAAGAATAAAAGAAGCCGGGTGGAAAAATTCGCTCCTATTACACATGACTTTTTACTGGGATTTTCTCGCGCTACATTGGTCCATAATCTCGCATCGGATAACAGTCATCCGTAATCTCCTTGAAAAAGAGACCAATTCTTTCATTCTTCCAAATTTTTCCTGGTAATAATTCCCGAATGCACAGGGAAGAATCTTTGATGAAAACATGAACATCAATGGCTTTTCATGCCAAACAATCTGTTACTTCCTCATGGTCCCCACATCCTAACCATATTTTTGAAACGTATCCATCTGGAAACTTAATGATCGTACCATCCACAATAATTCCCTTGGGGTTTTATCTAAATCAATAACATGCCTTTGGAAACTTACTAGTAAGTACAGATTTGCTCGAGTTCTGGTCGACGACAAAATTCTCCTTCATGTCTGCTCCTCTCGTTTTTGCAATTATCTTGGTTTTCCCCTTCAATGTTCATGACAGTGTTGAATATGAATTCAAACACTTTTTTTCTATGTGCATCACATCAAGGTTTCAATAACGGATAGAGAAGGTGAACTCAGGTCATCGGCAAATCCCAGAAGATGCTTCGTTTTTTCCACCCGCTATTTCCTCCCAAATTCTTGCATTTTACCTCCATACAGCACCTCACTCTGTAACTTCAATCAAGCCCCAGATCTTCAATTTCTTGTTAATATTTTTCAGCTCAGACTTCAAATGGCGAAGGGGTTTTTTCAACAATAGTCCGTGTTCTTTTCTAAAGCATTGGTCGTTTCCTTCTCCTCCAAGGGTGAGCATCTATGTAAGAATTTTGCGATGAAATCAAACCACATGTTTTACCTCCATTCTTTAGTGGTATGCATTAGTGCTTTTCATGCAATGAAAGGACAAGCAATTGGTCTGCGTACTCCACCAGGATAACAATTCTCAATGCTGGAAAATCACTGATGGTCCAAAGTAAAGCAACTCGCATTTATGAATTCTGATTGGTCGAATAATTCAATGTTTCAACCCCATATTCCTATAAATAAATTAAGTTGCATTTCAAAGGCTGGCAGAAAACAACATCAATTTTATGTTTCGAGAGTAGTAGGGCATTGTACATATAACACAAAAAAACATATATTCATCTTCTCATACAACATCTGAACGGTGGTTAGATTTATATGAGTTTGACAATGAAGCCATGATGAGTATTATTGTCCCTGAATTGGCCAAACGGTGAAACCATCAGTACACAAGGCCCCCCCATTTGCACTTTTCTCATATCAACGCAGCAAACACAAGAATGAATGTTATCCAAAATCTTTCCACAACTTCAGAGTCTGACGGAATGAGTATCTATAACCATCCTCATATTCATGCAAACTGCCATGTAATGTGTTCCCAGCTGTCGCCTTAAGATTGCATATAACCTTTGAGGCGAGGAAACAAGAGGGAAATAATACATCTCTCCTTGAA